TCTAGTCACAATCATACTAAGCTCCATATTCCCTAAGGGTCCATGTACACATATAGCATATACATTGGCCGTAATGTAGTCCCTATTTAGGTACTTCGGGGCCCAAGTATATGCAATATGAGCGCATGGACCCTGAGGGGTTGATGCATAATATTTCATAGTATTACCGAGATCATACAGAGAACCCTAAACCCTAAACCCTGAAGCCCTAAACCCTAAACCCCTAAACCCCTAAACCCTAAACCCCTAAACCCGTAAACCCTAAACCCCTAAACCCCTAAACCGTAAACCCCTAAACCCTAAACCCCTAAACCCCTAATAGTTGTGGGACTCTAATGTCTAAAGGCAGACTCTCAGTCCCTTCTGGCCCCGACCGCGGGACCAGAAGGCTTCCCCTAAATCCGACCTGAACCCTGAACTCCAAGGGTAAAAGGAGGTACCGTTAATAAGGACCCCTAGGTATATACCCTTAATATAGCATTATATACCAATTATATAGCCCATTATGGGGAAGGGGTCACCATTAAGGGTCCCTCCTTGTCCCCTCATGAACCCTAAACTCTACCTCTAGACCAGGACCCCCCCCCCAAATGGCCCTTTGATGGAGCCCTTTTATGGTCCTGAATAGTGGGTATTCAGGGGATGTTAGGTATAGCCCCCCAACAGTAAGTCAAATACTGGCCCAACACCTAGAAAAGGCTGTGACTCTGCATGCTTTTGGGGTCCAGGCAAGCCCTAAGCCCCCAAAACAGCTTATAAGAAAACCCTAAAACCCTAAACTCCTAAACCCTAAACCCTAAACTCCTAAACCCCTAAACCCTAAACCCTAAACCCCTAAACCCTAAACCCTAAACTCCTAAACCCCTAAACTCCTAAACTCCTAAACCCTAAACCCTAAACTCCTAAACCCAAAACCCCAAAACGGCTTAAGACAGGAGCTACGGCAAGGGCCGCGTGCTCGGCGCGCAGCTTTGCGTTTTGGAGCTCGGTGGGTCCAGGCGGCCTTACATCTGCGGAGTCACCGAAAGCCCGGGGTTCCTTTAAGGGGATCTATAGGGTTCCTTGAAAGGGAGCCATAATAGAATCTATAAGGTTTAGGGTTTATGAGTATTTAAAGGATCATGGGACTTAGTAGGTTTATAATTAGGGTAACTTAAAAGGGATCTATAGGGGTTCCTTAAAGGGATCTATGGGGTTTAGGGTCTACTTAGGAATCATGGGACTTAGTAACTAGGGTTATAATTAGAGTAACTATACTTATAACTACTTATACGCCCAATCAAGGTACTTATAACATTACTTACTAAGTCCCATGATCCTCCAAGTACAGCCCGAAGCTTCCATGAATCAAATGGGAAAAGGAGGGACCCTTAATGGGGACCCCTACCCTATAATGGGGCTATATAATGGGTATATAATAGCTATATTAAGGGTATATACCTAGGGGTCCATATTAAGGGACCCTCCTTGGAATGAATGTGCGGTTAAGGATTTAGATTTTCTGGGGTTTAGGGTAGAAGGGTTAGGGAATTTAGGGTAACCCTAAACCCGAAACCCGATAGCCCCCAACATGGATGCCTAAACAAACGCAAAGCATCGTCCCTTAGGCTTCCTCGTTATACTTATGCTACAATCGACGGCAAAGTCCTAGTCTAATTCTCAAGGCCCCTACCAAACCTACCCAGAGACTTCACGATGATTCGCTTCGGTGCAGGGTTTCCTAGTAGTAGAGTAGGTAGCTTTTACCCTTTTTGGGGTAGTATAGTCCCTGTATAATCCCTATATATATAACCAAAAAGGTTAGCCTTTAGTTTTCCATGAAACCCGACAAGTAGGGTTTAATGTGGTTTGAGGTTAGGGCCTAGGGCTCAGGTGTATATGCAGTGCACGATCCAAGGTCCGTTAATGTGAGTTCGGGCATGTTTCTTGGTTGAGGGATTCGAACCCTCGGGTTGCAAGTTGGGTTCGAGGGCTTGTGAAGGAGGTCTGTCAGAGTTTTGAGGGTTCATGAGGTTCGATCAGAGCTCAGAGAAGTGCGTCCTTATTAGGGGTTCTAGGGCCCTAACTATAAGGTCCGTGGAAGCATATTGTTACAAGGGCCGTCACAACCGTTTTGGTTTTGTAGGTTTTGGGCATGTTTGGAAGCACTGGCTGTCTTAATCTCTAAACCCCAGACCTTAGAACAAGGGCATTGAAACGTGGACTCGGGGGCCTGCTTACCCCTTCTGATCCATGTAGAATCCCCGCAGATCCCTCTAAAGCAACCCAGCAACCCATGAACCCTAAACCCTAAACCCTAAACCCTTGCCGGTTGCTAGGCCGCAGCCCTTGGTTGACTTATCCCTTGGGTGCTGCAGCTGGACCGACCCTGCCTCTGGGCCTTGTCTAGGATGCCCAGTAGTACCCTTATTAGGGGCTACCTTTGCAGGGATCTATGAGGGTTCCTTTAAAGGGATCTATAAGGGTTCTATAAAGGGTTTAGGGTTTCCGAGAATTAGGGGCTAGGATGCCCAGTAGTACCCTTATTCCCTTTTTGTAGTCCTAGGTTCCTTATAAAGTTACCCAATACCAAAAAGAGAGGCCTTTTTATTCTCAGGTTACTGGATATCCTAGTTGTTGGTTTACAGTAGAAGCCTCAATCAGGGTTTTGGTTCTTAGGGTTTAGGGTTCAGCGTTCAGGGTTCTGGTATTTCAGGGTTTAGGGTTTAGGTTTACAGTAGAAGCCCAAATAGTTGGAAACCCAATAGCTTCAATCCTTAAGAGTACTGTATAAGGAATCCCGGCACTACTTGGCCTTAATCCGGTTTCCATCTTTATGAGGTTTACTATAGAGTGTAGGGTTTGAGGTTGAGGGTTTTGGGCGTTCGGCATAAACGCTTGGAAGCTTTATAGTCGAGTGGGTAACCGGTAACCTTATCGCCTAGGACACTGGCAAGCGACGAAAAGGCCTTCATGCGATACCTAAACCCTAAACCCAAACCCTACACCCTACACCCTAACCCTAAACCCTAAACCCACACCCTAAACCCTAAACCCCTAAACCCTAAACCTTACACCCTAAACCCTGAACCTTTCAACCGGTGCATCTTGCGGTTCAGGAATCCCTATAGATCCCTTTAAAGGAACCCCTATAGATCCCTTATAGGTTAGAACCCTCTAGGTGGAAAGGATCTATAGAGGGGTTCCTTTAAAGGGATCTATAGAGGGTTCCTTTGGGAGCTTTAGGGTTTTAGGGTTTAGGGGTTTAGGGTCGTAGCCAGAGCCCCGCAATGGCCCTTTTCATGGAGCCCTTGTTTAGGGGGTCCATATCGACCCCTAACGACAGAAGCTTTGTAAATGTTGCGGATTTTCCCGAAGGCTCTTCAGTGCATATATACTGTGACATACCTGCAAACCCAAAGGGTCCAAGGTACTGTTAGGGGGAATACCTTCCCAAATCATAATAGTAATTCCAAAGATAGAAACCCTACGTTCTACCATAATTAGAGGTACTTAGGACCGTTTGGGAAGCCTTTTATTCCAATCATTGAGCCCCGTCTTTTTCACCCCCCCCAGATTTCGCAGTCTCTGAGGCACCCGTGACGCCTTCGACGCAGTTTAACCTCCTCGACATCTCGAAGATGGTGGTGACGGCCTAAGCTTTTTGGGTTCCTTTCAGGGTTCCTTTTTTTGGGATCTATAGGAATGGCCCTTTGATGGAGCCCGGATGGTCGGTTATAGTGGGTATTCAGGGAATATTAGAGGCTGGTTGTTTCTTGACGTTCTTCTAGTTGGCTCTAAGGACTTTAATTACCTCTCTGGGTTTCTATATGAACAATAATCAGGAGGCGAAAAGTGTAACTTGTAGGAGGGGTTCAGCAGTCAGCCAGGTTTTGGGTTCCTTCACAGGTTCAAGATGGTGGTGACGGCCTAAGCTTTTTGGGGTTCCGTTTGAGGACGCCCAAATGCCCGTTTAATGGAGCCCGCATGGTCCTTTATAGTCTTACCTGGAGAACCTGGTAGCCCCAAATAACAGGCCACTGACCAAAGGCGCTTGTTTGGGAACCCGGTGCCTGTTTTGAGTTGGGGATTTGGCATCAAAACCACAAAGTTGGGACTCGGGATGGTTGCAAACACTCGGTCCCCTGAATCTTTTCAGCGTGAATGCACGTGCACCCAAACATTGGTGAGGTACTTTCGCAAGGTTTGCAAATGCATTTGCCGAGCGCCCACACAAGTCGTCGAAGAGGAAACCCTCCCTACGAAGTCTTCATCCATTTGCGTCGACTCGCTTAGTGGACTAAGCGTCCAACGCCGCTCGGAATTGCAGGCAGTGACCAGAAAGTCGACGATGTGAATGAGTGCGTGAAATTTAGGCGTGATCTTAAATCGTGTCCGTTGTAGCCTGTACGCACGCGTCGAGATCTCAAGATAAGCTTTCATGAACTGCAATCCGGCTTCGGCGATGGTCTTGCAGCGGTCCAGAGAAAGCCACAAACCGGAATGGTATAGTGTACGCATGAAGATATTCGCGGCACGGCAAGCTTTCAGGATCCCTTCCAAATATAAGTCTTGCTCGCTTGCATCCTCGAGGTGCTTCGACCAGTACGATTCAAGAAAACCGCACATAGCTGTAGTGTCCGCCCCCTTAAACCAATTCCTTAGGATTATAAGTTATTTTAACCTTATATATATGTGAAAAATTACACAAATTACAACCTAGAAAACCGAAACTTATGCAAACACTTAAACTTCAAAACGCTTGTAAAACAGGAAAGGCACCCAACAGGATATGCATAGTCGGCTGGAAAGGCCAATAAATGCCGAGTCAGAGCTTCCATATGCAATGGCGTCTTCGTTTCCTTGCAGTACTGCGCAGCCAAACGATAGATTGCATCAAGCTGCTCCGGAATATCGCCGACTCCGGCCAATCCGTAGTCTGTGATGACAACCTGAATTGAATGATTCTGTTATATATAGTCTTTATAAAACATATATAGAAATCTGCATACTTATTGAAGCTACGTCGCTATGCCGCTGCCAGCAAGCTCGGCAAAAACGCCTTTGTGAAGCGTATGAAAGACATCAAACTTGTGGATGAACTCCTTCGCCGGCGACTGCGGCACCCGACACAAGGGACCTTCGGAATCCCACGGCGTAAATCTCAAGTATGTGTCTCGCCACTTTGCAGATTCTGAATAATCATTGGGATCGTAGCCTTGCTCGCCAGCCCTGCACAGATGGCAAATCCCACTCTTCTCTGAAACCTCGTACACACCTTTGCGGGAGAAGTGTCGTGTTAAGTTCCCAATTCGAGCTTGTATGGGCCAATCCCCCTTAAGACCTATCAAGGCGATGTAGAAGGTGACGGGCTTCTCCTCAATCTGCACAGTTACCCCATTATGGAATAAATCCACAAGTTCATCCGCCAATCGCTCCACGATGCCAGTGAAGACATACGACTTCCCTTTGGAGTAGGACTTCTTATGGCAAACAGTGTAGAGGAAGCGAGTGCCGTAGGAGTTGCCAGTATAGTTGAGGGACATAGCTTGAGGGCTATCATTCGTTGTTGACAGTCCAAAGCCAAGTGGTGATTGCCAGTTTATTACCAAGACTCCTGACTTCTTGACAGACTGGCCCTCGTCCGCATGCAATTGTACTGGAATTACATAAGCCATGTGCGCCCGATGGCGCTCGAAGACTGCATGCTGCGGGTCATGAGCCCGCCAGCGCCGCCAGAATTTCGGTAGCACATCAGTGTTTGACGTCATAGACTTTGAACCCCAGAGCAAACCCAATCTGTTGCTGGAAGCAAAAGCTTGAAGAAAATCCGTCAACTTCAGAACAGGATGCATGCAGTCAGGAGCAACTTCCACGTTGTGGATCTGTATGGGGCAGGATAAGCCACTCTTTGCGAAGCTTTTCGCAGAAGCATTTTCGTGTCTCGTCTGTGATTGTCTATGCAAATCCTTCAATAACCCAGCACTTCTAAGATCCTCTGCTAAGTCTGGATCAGCATCACGAACTTCGTCAACGAAGCCAGCAGCAATGCTACATAGCAGCCGGTCAGAAACCTTCAGGGCTTCGGGGTGCTAAGCTTTACAGGGTGCGAACATAAGGATTACGAGTCACTATTATAATATATGCATATGCATATACATATACATACAGATATATCGGCTAACACTAAACAAAACATTTGTTCATTTATAAATGAACAAATGTTTTGTTTAGGGTTCATATATGGGGGGTCATCTACGTCACGGACTACATAAAATCTACGGGATAGATTGGGGTTTCCCTTAATAAAGACCCACGACTCCAAACTCATTATTTCGTAACACGCACCCCGGATCCACGAGCCCGGGCCAAGGCGGACGATGCCGCTCCAGCCGACGAAGGATCCTCCGGAAGTGCACCTGCGCGGCATGAGGGCTTAAGAATATTTACAGAGGACTTTGGTATATAGGCGGATGTCCGGTTGCAATTCTTTTTTCGGCCTCCTTTGCTCGGCAAGCCCCCGGAAATCTGGCAACGAAATTGAAATCGCAAGCTTTGCGACCACACCTTATGTGGCGAAGAAGAGCTTGCCCCATTTGTGGATATTTCAATCCACCCCCTATAGGGAACCCTGTAGCCCTCTAAGCCTAGTTGTACCCTTTATCAGACCTATAGACTCTAGACAGAACCATTGTGATTCAGAGCAAGTCTACTTCTTCCCAGCAGCCTTTGCTTTGGCTTTGGTCTTTGGTTTTGCCTTAGCCTTCGGCTTAGGCTCATCGTCCTCACTTTCCCCAGGCTCGGTCTCCTTTGCATTGATCCCCTTCTTCGGCTTGTTGCGATCGAGAACCGTCCTCGGAAAGCTAAGTTTAGGATTCCTTGGAGGGTTTTTTTCGGGTTTAATTACAAGGTTTTATTCGTAGGGGCTATACTACAATATAGGATCACACCTGGAATGGGAGCATAACTTTCATCACGAGGCCGCTTCAGCTTCTTTTGCTCCATCGTGATGCGGCTTGACCTGGCAGCTACAGGGAATGTGTTGTTTGGGTAGTATAATCGTATATGTATAGGCAGGGCACAACTTTTCAAGGGCAGCAAGCTTCTCCTTGAGCTTCTTTATCGTCCTCAGTTGGATTGGTGATATAAGATCTGTATACCGGAAAGACACATGCATACCATCAGACAGGGCGCTCGTCAGTCGGGGTCATATGATTGCTGTTTTCAGCTTTGATCTCTGCTAGGTCATCATGCAATATCATCAGCTGGTCGGCTTGCTTGCTGAGGCTGCTTTCTCCTTTCCTTAGTTAACGGGGTGATTGCACATCTTTCTGGGAACTGCACATGTAGGACCTGATGTAGTGAAGTGACTCCTTCTTGCTGCCCGTCTGTTGCAACTGCTCGAGGGTGTTGTCCACCTTGATGCGCAATCTCAGGATCTCGGAGAGCACGGTTGGGATGCTCTTGATGTCCTGAAAAGCAGCACGGCTTATGGCTTTAGGGTTTGTAGGTACATTGTAGGGGTTTCGGATTATAAAGTTTTGGGCTTTAGGGCTTTAGGGTTCATATATATATATATATATATATATATATATGGTTGAGATTACCTTATAATACGTGTATGCATATAGTTATTTGTTTATTATATTTGTAAAATATTTAGTTTTATTTCTTCAGGGTATATATATATATATGTTGATTATATATCATTTTTATGTGTGTGTGTATATATATATATACAGTAGTATATATATATATATATATATATATATATATATATATTTATACATATGTGCGAGTATAAGTGCAATCATCTAGTTTGCCGAAATACATACAAGTGACCTCCAAGGCAGTTTCCACTGCCTCTTCTTTCTCCTCCCTTTCCTTCTTCTGCTTGGCAAGCATCTTACTCTTTGGGCTCGGTGTTTTTTTTCCCCTCCTCTTCTTGCGCCGTGTGCTCGGTGTCTGTGTATCATCGGCATCGTCCTCATCCTCTTCATCGCCATTGTCCTCGTCATCCAAGTCGTCGTAGCTGGGCATAGCTTCCTTGCCCAACGTCGGTGCGGGTAGCGAAGTACCATCGTCGATAATCTCGACGCTTTGCGTGAACTCTTCACGGTGGCTCGTCGACAAGCTGCCACTTGTGCGAACATCGACCCAATACTCCACCACATGGGATTGGTACTTGTCCTTCCTGAGACACAACCATGTTAAATCATTGCAAGTCTAGACTCTGCAGAAACCACATGTATAGCGACTGGCCACGAGGCCTCGTCAAAGCTTTCCGCCGAGCCTTCGACGCGGTGCAATACTTTACGACCGCCTTGATTCTGTCCCTGGGCTGCACACAATTTGAAAATCGTGTAAGACAAATCCAAGTTGAAACCGGGTTGCTTATCGAACTTCAGCTCTGACTTCATGGTAGCCTCCGTGTAGTAGCCACTCTCGATGACAACCTTGCCCTCCTTGATATGACGAATAACAATCTCCATCTTCTGGTTGAAGGCTTCCTGGGTGCTTGTGCGCATGTTCCAATACACAACCTACAAGAATAGACACCCCCCATCGATCAGTATGCACATGTAGCTGAGTGTCCTTGTCACCCTGGCAATTGATCAGCGCCACAATCAACTGCTTCCTAGTCTTTGTGCACTTCCATTTGTCGGCAACATCTTGACTCACCTGCAAGGTGCCCCGCTTGGCCGACCTGTTGCACATACGTCGCAACGTGGCTTCATAATTCTTGTACTGCTGGGCCGTGATGCGGATAGTCCCCCTCCGCTTCGCAGCCTGCATTACACATGACTTAAGGATCTCGATCTTCTCCAGCTCTAGATATGTGGACCGACTATATATATATATATATATATATATATATATATATGATATATGCTATATATATACATATATATATATATACATAATATGAACATCTACATATATATATATACACACACAGAGAACTCTGTGATATGTATATATTGTACATATATATGGGCAACCATATGTAGGTTTTCAAGTTTGTGTATTTTTGGGTCCTATGCTCTGTGTATATATATATATAGGTATATATTGTACATTTCATTATTTATGATCTGTATATATGTATATATATATATATATATATATATATATATATATATATATCCGTCAGATACGGATATAGGGGTATCTATATAGTATATATATATATATACACATATAACCATATACGTATAGTTTAGAGTTAGATATTAGTGATACATATGACAGGTTACATAAGCCGGTGATTCATGGTTCGAATAATTAACATAAACATAGATCGAGAGGTGCTTGACATGTAGTATAGGTGAAACTCAATACTTTACCATATGTAGGGCGGTGCTATGTGGATGTCCGGGCCTTGTTCTCCTTCGTCTTGGACTTGGTAGCACTGCTGGGTGTTGTTGTGGCCAATGTTTCGGCTGGTGATCCATGACGGCTCCCTTGCTTGCTCTTGGTGCTCACGGGCGTAGAATCATGGGAAGCATGGGACCTTCGTGCACGGTGTCCACGGTTCGGGGATTCACTGCGCTCTCGATGCCTCTTGGGAGTATACGACTTGGTCGGGGATTCACTGCGACGCCTCTTGCTTCTAGACTTGGTCGGGGATTCACTGCGCTCTCGGTGCCTCTTGCTCCTAGACTTGGTTGGGGATTCACTGCGCTCTCGCCGCTTCCTTCCAGAGCAGGGCGCACCACTTCGTCGGCCCCTGGCCGGGGAAGTGCAGCGGTCGGGTCTTTGGTCCGCAACGTGTGCAGCCTTCTCATCATCACGGTGCTCGGGGCGGCTGCGTCTGCTTCGGGACGGGCTGCGGCTTCGATTCTTTCGTCTCGAAGACTTAACTGGGGAGGTGTTGGGGCTCCTCGTCTTTCGTGTTGAAGGCTTTGCCGGGGTTATGATGGGCTTCATACTTTGCTTGGCCGTAGCTTCGGGGCTTTGGAACAACTTGCGGACTGGGCTTGGGGAGGTCACAAGCGTATCGGCAACTTCACCAGACCCATGCGGCACAGGCCCAGCTTTGGAAGGATCACAAGGAGGTACACGCTCCCAGTAAGGGTCCTCGATGCCATCCACAAGCTCATCTGGTACCTTATGTAAGATATAGCATGTGTTGCGAACCTCAGAACCAATGCACAATCAGATATTGAGGTAGGCTGCTGTGGGCGTCACCGGCGAGCCCTCATCCTTGACCAGGCTGGCATGAAGAAGTTCGCGAAGCTCATGAAAGTCCTGGGATTGGTCTTATAAGAACATTGAATCATCGGTATTGCATACACAAGACTATATGCAAACTAGTTGCACAATCGACATCCATAATCAAGTCGTCATCTGAATCATGGGATGCTTCAGCGGCTGCTGCGGGATGCTCGGTCTCCATGGGCTCTTGGGTTTCCACATGCTCTCGGGTTTCGGGTTCCTGCGATTCAGCTGACACGTGCGAGGTCTCAGGTTCCACAGCCCTGGTGGTTCCCTCATTGAGACCAGCAGCATCTTCAGAATCATTGGGAAAAGCACTGTCCCAAAGCTGCTGCGAACGAGGCTGTGCATCTGTAGACACTGGTCGTACTAACACATCCATCGAACGAGCCGGGGTCGCAATAGGCCTCTCAGCTGGCAATACCGGTAAAGCCAGCCCGGTTTCATCATCCTCTGTCGTACGCAGGGACTCGATCTTCCGGGCCTTCAACTGCAGCGCTTTGAGCGTCTCCTGCGCTGCCTGGGGCTGGATTGCATTTATTATATGGTTGCGTTTGGGGGTTGCTTCGAAGTACACTTGAATTGCAGCTGTGACACTCGTAGCTCTGCATCGATATCTTCAGCTTCTTGCTTGCAATATTGCGACTCCATGAAAGACTGCCCCGAGTACAGGGTAGCGCAGCTATGGGTCTTGGAGGCAAGACGTAAGGGCTTGCCTTTCACCATGGTGAAACGGGTTGCAAAAGCCTGAACCAAAGCACGGAATCGTTCAGAAGTTGCTGGTTTCGGGATTACGCTTTTTTATGGCACTTTGACGCGAAATTACGGCACTTTACGCTAAATTACGGCACTGCGTTTTGGTGCATTTGTAGCCCAAACTTAACTAATCCCGCATATGGCTAAACAAATATATATGAAAACCTTTAAGTCCGGAAACAAACCCGCAACCCTCGAACACATAGCAGGGCTCCTTAAGCCAACCCGCAGCTCCAGGATGAAACCCCGCAACCCCCAAAGCACAGCAGACAACTTCCGACCGAAACCCCGCAAAACCCCGCAACTCCAAAGACCCGGTTGCTTGTATCCCATACATATATACATGCATATATCCATGTGTATATATCTGTATGTGTGTGTGCATCTAACAGACGGACGTTCGGCAAATTTAAGTATATCTATATATATATATATATATGCTTGTAATCGTATATCCAACATATACATAACATACACCCAGAACTCCAGTGAATATATATATATATATATACATATATATATATATATTATATATTAATATATATATATATATATATATATATTTTCACTGGAGTTCTGGGTGTATGTTATGTATATAATATGCACACACATGCACATACATGCTATCATATGTATATGTATGTATACATATATATATATATATATATATTGTGAATACCTATATATATATATATATATGTAACATATGTACCATGTGGTTCATATTCACAAGACAAAACTATGTAGTGGTCGTGAATTTATACATCTATATATACACTACACACAGTTCATGGGACACATGTATACACACACATGCATAACAGAACATGTGCTAAATATATATGTATATCATACATACATATATACATATATGCACATATATGTACACATATCTTCTCAGCCCTCCCCTGCCGCGGCAGCCGGTTTGTTCTCACGGATCCTCAGCAAAGGCTCTAGCCGGCAAAATCCTTGGCCAGCTGGTGCAGCATGGATTTCTGTTCATCGCTGAGCCGGAGCTTCTTGTTGGAATAAAGATACTCTATGACCTCGTCGACCCGTGCATCATGCCACAAATCATTCGTGATATTGGCACAAAGATACTCTTTGCAATCATCCATCCCAAAGTTGGTCACCTCTCAACACACAGCCCAGACTGCTCTTGCACACCACTCAGGAATGTATGGATCGATGAACTGATTGCAATTCTGAAGCGGCCTCCTGGAAATCGAGCCTCCACTCGATTGGAGAATCTCGGAGGGCAGGAATCATCTTGGCAAAACGTATGGCGAAGCCGAAAGGATATTGCCTGAGCTGGGAAATGATGTTCTATAGGAAGGCACCAGCTTCACTATGTAGGGTTGTTACATATATAGGCATCTAAAAAGGGACGTTACCACAAAGGCTTAGCATTGCTTTTTCTGAGGTTGTTATGATATAGGGCTTATCTAGGGTTGTCTATATGGGTTATATAGGTTTATATAAAGGGTTGTTAAGCTATACAGATAGACTTGTATTGGGGTTATTCTATTGTTTTCTTTGGGTTATAAAGTGTTTTGTTAGGTATTTCTTCTTTCTTCAGGCAATTGATTTGATTGTTGTGCAGACACGACACTGCGAGTGACGGAGGCCCTTCCTTTTCCCAGTGTAGCGGACAGTGCCCCTAGTATCCTTGTATCTTTTGACCAGATCGCCCTTACATTGGCCCGTTCCGACAAGGATAGCCGTGCGTAACGTCTGAAGCTCAGGATCGCTTTCGATGACGACCACAGTACCGAGCGCTTGGGTGTCTTGGCACCCAACTTTCCAAGCCAAAAGGCTTGTCGGTAGACCTCAGGGCAGAACAGATATGGTTCATACCGTAAATAGTTTTATAGTTTCTATAGACATAATCTAGTTCACACCAATAATAACCAGTGAACCTGCAACCATGGCACTTTCACGGCCTTGCACAGCTGCTGAAACCTCCTATGCCGGAACATTAAGGATGACACAGGTTGTTCCAAGGTCCAATGGCACTTTCTCGCCATCAGTAGCCAAGCGATCAAGCAGAACCTGGAGGGATTGAGCATAAAGCTATATGTTTGTATAATCTATAGGTGTATTATAAATGATGGAGAATATTGGGATAACAGGTATATATAGGGTATCTATAAATATATATACACATATAAATAAGTTTCGGGGTATATATACTATGTACCAGCGAAAAGAACTTGTGGAGCCTTGATACCATGGTATTGCCATCGCATACCCACTTCAAGGATGTGTTGCCGTGGGGACACAAATAACGTCGACCAGAAGAATCCATACAAAGGGATATCCAGCTTGAACATACCAGGCCAAAGTGGAATACGGAATTCGGGCGAGCACGCATAGCTTGGACCAATAGCAGCCTCGCAGCTTGATTCAGGTATTTATGCATAATGAGTCAAACCATATATGTAATCCTGGGCACGCGAACCCTGCTTTGCCGAGCATATCCAGTGGGTTGTTGGTCGTCGGTCGGTAGTCGTGGGCTTTCCAGTAGCGGATATCCATGCCCGGAAACACAAAGCCATGGTAAAGCTGAACCACTCGGCACAGCATTCCGGATCCTGCACACACCTCCGCACCATCAAGCACCTGAGCCCAGAAATGCAACATCCCAGGATTCCTTCAGAAGCCTGCTGCTGTCTGCCTATGTGGCCCGCCTCGTCGATACACAGCCCCTCGGTTTTCAGAACCAGGAACACACAGAGGACCAAAACCTGGGAGCAGAGTGCGGGGTTTCAGGGGATGAATTCAGGAGGCCATGAGACCATGCATGTATAAGTATATGCAGCAAAGAACCGCAGGAGCTCGAGTTTGCACCAGGGCACGGAGAATACGAAGTACCCGACTCTGGTTCAACATGTTTACACTACCGGGGCAGCTTGATAGCAAGTTCTGCGTGGAATGTACACATGGACACTGCGTGCAACGCTCCTCAAACGCTTCAATCTTCTAGGTACTCAGCACAACACACACTCTGAGAAACCATGCATGCATGGGGAGGGCGCACCACCTGAGGATTGGGATCGGCGCCGCTTCCTCCACGCCTTGCTCATCTGCACTGGATTGGCGTACCTGGCATTGCTGAGGCTGGGTTCGATGGGGTACCGCGGTACAGCACATGCGGGCTTTGCGAGTTCAATGGTTCACACACACCGACCGAGCTTTTCATCCTTTGCATTCCTGCTGAAGTTGCAGCATCGAGATCGGCAGCATTGGTTAGCATGTGGTAGACACAGCCCCATGCACTAATTGATTGGCATACACGGCCGCCCCCGCACCCCAAAGTGCCCGTGGAAGAGGTTTTATTTTGTAGCTTCACCATCACATGTAGTACATCACGTGGGGGGGCCGAATATGCGCACACCCCTTGCACACAAGGTTCTCCCTGCCTGCACATGACCCCACATAGCTTCACATACTACCTCGATCAGAAAGATTGAAACTGAAAAGAGTCGACGATCAAGCTGCTGCGCGAGGCCTTCCCCGGGCCCCCCTGTACACATAGGACGGGTCGCGGCATGTCAAGCAACCACGTTTGGACCATCGGCATCGTGGGCAACCAAGCTCTCGATCAGCTGCACCGCCGGCCCCGTCATCGGGTCCGCCTCCGCGGCCACGGCCACGGCCTCTGCCCTTGCCCTTGGGATTTCCAACGGCTGCACCAACATCTCGAGTGGCCTCCTCTGGGGGCGGAAGCGCAGCAGGAGGAACTGCACGTCCACGCCCTCGGCCTCGTCCTCGCCCTTTGGCTGGAACAACTGCAATCGGATCGGGGTTTTCCTCAACAACGGCTGGTCGGCTCGCTGCCTTTGCCGTTGCCTTGGCTTTTGCCTTCGCCTTCGGTGAGGCCTTGGCCTTCGGTCCTGGCGAGGCCTTGGCCTTCGGTCCTGGCGAAGCCTTCGCCTTCGCCTTGGCCTTAGCAAAGGCCTTCGCCTTTGCCTTAGCCTTCGCCTTTGCCTTTGGCGATGTCTTCGCCTTGCCCTTGCGTCCTCGCTTTGCCGGTCGCCGCATGGCCTTCAGCAGGTTCTGCTCCTGGGCTGTCACCGTGGATCCATCAGCAACCTCAATCTCCCCACCCGGCCACGTGTGCACTCACACACACACACACACACGCACGCACTGTGTATCACATCAGCAGCGAAGCACTGATTTCATTGCCTATCCAAGTAACATCGGGAAGTTCGCGAGGCAGCGTTTTCGTAGACTTCGGCGGTGTAGGCGATGGGGTCCCGCTCGGCATCACTTGTGTCTCCTGAATCACATGTTGCAAGTCTATAGCTATAATACGATATATTTTACGTGCATGTTGAGAGCAAAGATAGCTCGCCTCCTGGTCAGGATGGGCTCGCTTACTGCGGGAACGACGAAGGATGGAAGCCAATGGCGTGGCAGGCGGCCGTGCTGGTTTCTTTTCTGGACTGTCATCGATAGAAATCGGGCCACCTTATTCGAGGAGTCACAGGGTACAGCCATTGAAATCAGATACTCGATCGAATGGGTTCAGTCAAGTAGCAGCGTCGCAGTGTGGAGTCAGTCACTGGCCTCAGGTGCGAACATATAATTTCAAGTACAACACAAACAGCCTCGAAATACCGGTATATATGAAGCTTAGTCACTCACCCAGCCTGCTTTGCAGGGATCGAATCTCGTTCATCATCGAAGCTAGCTTCTCCCGCTTGGACTGCATATGAATACTGGAAGAGCCCGAGTTAGGGAGCTCGATCACAGGATCATCCTCACCTCCACTTTCCTCCTCCCCTTCCTCAGCATCACCGTTGCCATCATCATCCTGCTCTTCACCATCCACCTTCTCCTTTGCCTCCTCCTCATCTTTCTCATTCTCATCCATCTCCTCCTCATCGAAGCTATCATGTTCGAGCAGAACCTCAGCGGGGGCCGGTGCCGCTGCATCCGTCGGCTCCCCATTATGGTGTTTG